CAGTTTTGAGCCACCTGCAGGGCATGATGAGAATGTGAATGCTTGTGGTACAGCTTTTTGGAGTGTTAAGAGGTAATACCGTCGCGTAAAACGAAAAATAAGAACTAATACATTCCTCGGGAACATTGTCTTCGTAGAGAACATCGTATGGAAGGCGAAGCTGGTCAGAGTGTAAACCGTCAGCCAAATCCATAGAAAAGCCCAGCTCATCCTTGTCGTACTTCCCTCTCGGGGCATAGACAATGATGATTGTTAGAGTTGGGGTTCAGACACAACTTTTCAATCACAAAGTCCTCTTCTAAATGTCAGGCAATTGTACGAACCGATGTTCGTGGACAAATGGGTGTTGACGAAGACTTCTTTGCCACCAACGTCTCTGCTGTTGGGTGTTCCACAAAACAGTTCTTCTCCACTCTCCAAAACGGTGTGCTGCGGGTGACGCCTTCTCTTTCAGTGGGATCGTAAATGATTTTCCTGAAACCATCTTCAGATGCAATACGCTTTTCCAGGCGCACAAGCATTGAAGATGCAGATCACCATAATATCCCTCATCCTTTGAGCCTTCTCGGCCATCTTGGCCTCATCGTGTTCATCATACCCTCCTGCGTGTCATTCCTCTTTTGGGCATCTATAATGATCCTAAGATTTCAATGCGATGCTGCCATATTGGGGAGCCCCTTCAAGTTCATCTGAATTAGGTCCTTTTATATCACCGTTCTTGGCATAGATGAAGGTGTAGAACTCTGACATGGGAGTGGAGTGTACGCAGGGTAGTTAGCCATGCCATCCCAGTATAGACGAAGAAGTCATGCATCAATGATTAGCCAAACCACCTCTCAAGTATTTCTCAATCTACAGCGAGAACACCAACCGCAACCCGCAAATTCTCTGCACGCATGCACTGTTCTGAGGTCTGAGAGGAGAGAGAAGGTGCAAGTCGCCTGTAGCCTCATTGCCAACCGCTTGATCTCCATGAAAGAGAACCTGTTCCGAAGGAGATCCGTCTGCTGTCCAAGGAGATACGAGGCTTTAAACTGATATAGGATGAGAATAAACAATGACCTAAACGCTCGTTGGCTCGGAAAGTAGATGAAAAAAAGAAGCTCCTTGAAACGCTCAGGGAAATTAAATGAAATTCAGTCACGTGAGGTGTGTGGTGAATAAAGGTCACCTCACTGAGTGTGGCGGTGGTTCTCCCCGAATTGAGTGCCCAAGACCACTGCCGGAAACACGAATCTCTTCCTCCACAGCATGCAGCTGCGCGCCATCGGGTGCGGCAAGCGCGACGCAGTTTTCGAGGAGAACTTACCACACCCCTTCAGTGAACTACCACTTTACGATCCTATCAACAACTTCGTCAATAATAAACATTCTAACATGTGTATTCAGATATGTGTATATGACGTGCTCGTGGATGATGGGAGTGTTTGTGTTCGCTCTTCTTCTCGGACAGGTGATTTGCCTATGAGGCTATTTGATCCATAGGTTTTACCGAAGCATCTGCCACAGATTCGGGATATCGTGTCGAATGCAAATCGTACAAGAGAAGAATATCGTAGGCANCATGTGTATTCAGATATGTGTATATGACGTGCTCGTGGATGATGGGAGTGTTTGTGTTCGCTCTTCTTCTCGGACAGGTGATTTGCCTATGAGGTTAGGCAGTATTTGATCCAAAGGTTTTACCGAAGCATCTGCCACAGATTCGGGATATCGTATCGAATGCAAATCGTACAAGAGAAGAATATCGTAGGCAGATGGATATGGCGTTGTCGGAGTGCAAGCGTCTAGGATTGCCAAAAGAGTTGACAAATCGTGTACGTGACTGGTTCATATACACTTGGGAACAGCAGAAAACTCTCGGTTAGTCAGAATTCGATCATACACCGACTTTGTAACTAATATGTACTACGCAGATGAAAAGAAGCTCATCGAAAAACTGCCACTGAAGCTCCAAACTGATCTTGCTCTCTCCGTCCACTACAACACACTCAGCAAGGTGCAGCTGTTCCAGGTTAGCCCATTTCTTTGAAACTTATAGCATAGTTAATATTTTTTTAAATAAAATTTCAGGATTGTGATAGAGCTCTTCTTCGTGATTTGGTGCTAAAGCTACGACCTGTCATTTTCCTTCCAGGAGACATGATTTGCAAGAAGGTAAGGTTTGAC